GTAAAATTTTCCACTGGGACTCCATTTCGTTCTCTTTAATAAAACAACAATAACTTGTCAGGCCTACTTACATTAAAGATGGCTAACATGGCCATGCGTGGTCATGGAAGAATGTGCTTTCAGTTAATTTACTGGCGTAGTGAGGCACGCCAAAGTGAGAAGTACCTAATTGGGGCATTGCACGAAACCATATTTCACGACTGATCGATTTCTAGCTTTGTGCCCTTAGAATGGGTGCGATTAGCATTAAAGGGGCAGTTTCAATTTATAAAATCTCATCAGCATGGCATTGGTTGATAACTTCGCGCCTGTATAACCCGGGGTTTAAATGCGTTTTGGCTTTTGTGGTACATAAACACACTGCCACTCATGTGCTCCGCTGTTGAACTTTCCCGCAAGAATTCACCACCAAGACTTTCCGAGTAGTCTCCCGCCCTCATCCACCGCTTCGCTCACAAAGAAGGTAATAGTTACCGCTCCAAGGCGACCCGAGGAGGTCATCGTATGACTGATTCTTGACTATGAGATTTACTAAGGAGTCATTTTAGACAACCAACTCGCTTTTGTACATTTCCCTGCATAGCGTCACTTTGAATAGTAACTTGACTGTTTTATTGTGTTAGGACTTGCGCCCTTCTTGATAACACAGCATCATTAGCATGTACGATTATGTGTGTACGCAAAGAAGGGAACTAAAATTGCTGTGCATTTCATTATCTTTGTAAAAGGAACATACATAATTGCCAGATATCTATAAATATAGTTGAATTCAAATTGTTGTGAATAGTGCTGATTCACTTCAAATAATCCGGTCAATGCAGCCTCACACACAGCCGTGCCAGCAACGTGGGTCCGCCAGCTCATTCACCCCTCTGGATGTACCACATTCAGCCGCCTTACCCGTCTGGCTATTCAGACGTTTGTATTTCCACTAGTCCACTCAACTGTATTCGTAAACAAAAACACATGAGTCATGCACTACCCTTAATCACGCAAGCCACAACTCAATTTGTTTGAGCTACTTGGTAAACAGTTATGCCTCGCCTTCTCCGGTCTTCTGTCCTTGAGGATAACAGAGTAGGATGATCGGGCTAGGTTCAGTGTAGTGGCCCCCGCGTAGTTTAAGCCAGCATGCTGTGGCCTTCAAAAAAAACTGATGTTTGATTTTTTCTAGTGCCTATAGTTGTGCTTTTTTCTGAGATTTCCAACTCGGACTTAAAGGTTGACTACCAGGCATACGAGTAGGCGGAACCAGATGTATTCCATACTGCCGAATACAAATGCAGAGGGTCTGTCACTTGGGGGGAGGGTTTGAGTGGGGATAGCAGGGGGATGACCCTAAGGGAGGGGGGAGTCAGGGTTGCCCTCAGACCCACTGGCGTGCCTTGAGGAAGGCGGGATGAAGAACAGGTCAGACCAGCGCGCACTGGTCAAATTGTGCGCGTTACAGCGTTGCCAAGTGAGTTGATTGCACACTGCAGGAAAGTTGCACAGACCACTCCACAAAATATGCGATTTAACTTTTGTTTTGCTTCAATACTACTTTCTGAATTAAATCATTAATTAAAATAATGGGTGCTCTTTGTGTTCGACACTTTCGATTTCAGATTATCCTCTCCGAATTCGGTATGGTTGAAGTCAACAGTTTTTCCATTTTTTTATTTGTGAAGGAATTTTGAGCTCCGTTCTGTTTGTTAGATATAGTTGATATCCAGAGGTGAAATCTTTCACAACTAAAACAGCGTACTGAAGTTAAAAGAGAATGGATTAGGCACTATAGTTGCACATCTTCGCAATGTAATCGTCCTATTTATAATCACTAGTCCATTCATTTCTGTTTGACGCCAAAAATTGTATAGGGTAGCACCAAATAAGGTGGGATGCAGAAAACGGCCTTCAAATTTACTCTCTTAAAGGTTCCGAATCAGACCACACAAGTGCACAGAGGCATTGGTTGATGTAATTAGGTTAGACCGATTTAGCAGTATAATTGTAGTAGTTGATGTATCGGGGGTAAATTTACCTTTGATAAGATAATTACATGTCTTTCGAGAAACTTATATTAACCCCTCTTTCGTTCCAATTTTTCATTGAACTTGCCTCTGCTGTGCTGCTTTTCGTACGGTCCAGGTCATGCGGCCAGGTGCGTTAAAGAGAATTACCAAAATATATTTATCACAAAATTTATGGAAAGCACATGCTACTATGAGATTTCCTGGATGCGTACACCTAGATGAACGACGTAGAAGTTAATAAGCGGAAACCACTCCCAACCGGAAAGCCATGCATAGACCCCGCCCCTGAGGCTCACCAGATTTCAGCTTCACTTTAAACATATTACGAATCCACGAAGTGAGGGTGTTCCATTCAATACTATTGGAAAGCGCTTTTGGTTTCTTCATTATGTAGTACAAGGTTGGAAGTACCGAAAAGTGTCGTATTTTAATACCAGAAGTGTGAAGTTATGTTAACTCTCATTTTTAAGCCTTTCTGATTTTGGTTGGAACTGAAACCATCGAAAGCTACACTGCGTTGATAACTAAGCGTACTTCTGATACCGCCTTTTTCGATATTATGCAACATATGTGACTCGTACGGCGTGCACGACATAAAAACTAAAAGTACATAACACTTTGACAAAATTTTAAGGAGAAAGGCGTCTGCAATGCTTGAGTTGTCTTCGTGCATTTAGTTACGTGGATTTAGTCAGTGACCTGAGCTCAGGACAAAATTACCATGAGCTATATTTCACGAATCTGTCTTTCCCGTTCGCACAGATTTGCTAATGCTTGTAATTTTCATAAAAGAAAAGTCTTATTTTATCTGACAGAGAAATAGGTTATAATATCTGGAAATTACCAAATGAAATTGAAAAACAAGATTTTCTAACCCTCCGAAACCTTACCTACCCTACCCCTGCCTTGTCTGCTGTGTAACATTACATAAAGCTATCCCTTTAACACTCACAAATAGGTACTAAGTGCGCCTAACTATTGGCAGAGCTCAAAGTACCACTTCCTCATAGGTCTCTACAATCTCAGTTAGCGGGCTTTTGATCGCGAGGCACTAAGTGGGACTAAATCTCTCGCTGGTATTGCAAGTAAAACGAAGTGGGTGAATTCCAAGAAATGCACCACTGAGTTTTCTTATTAACCTAAGTGCATAAAGTCGGCCAAAACACCCAGGGACCTTTATGCAAGTAAGGTCACCGACTTAAATACATAAAATTTGAAAGCCAAACAGTCACTTTTCGGCAGAAGGAAACACCACCTAATTAAAGCCCATAAGAAAATACAGAAATGTAACCAGTATTGTATGCAATATTACGCATCCATTAATCTTCACTGCTGGCTATAGAAATTCATGAGGCAAATTAACATTTTGTAACTGTGAAGTCCCATTCTGAAAACTCAGATCAATAGCTGACAGCTTAATTGGCCACCAGAAAACTAACCGCCTCATTCTAGATGCAGACCAATTTAAGGTTTTTTTGTAAAGAATGATTTCTGTTCTGCATATTAGTCAAAGACCTGATTAATTGAATAGATGAAATGTACAAACATCGCACCATGAAGTTGAATCAAACAATACGTTAGACTCCCGTTAGATTGGTGGCAGCTTGGTAGTTTGTGTCATCCAATGACAGAGAGCTTAAGCCTGGATCATCTGTGCTCGTCTCTATCCGAATATTCTCTCACTCTTTGATTTTTTTATCTAGAGATTAAAACAGCCTTCTTAGTCATGACGTTAGCCTCTTGTCTGTTTGTTTGCAATCGATACAAGAAAGTAAACCTGGCCAAAGGGTTCTGTTTGGGAGCTATTTGCGCAGATGGAAAGCAGTTAAGACCACAGAAGATGCTTCATTTTATTTTTTACGCTGCCTACAGTTCAGCAAATATATCAGAGTAAGCGTGCACTTAGAAAGCAATCGGTTTTTGGCAAAGTGCGCATCTGACCGTCTTGCCCAGATAAATATCGCTTTATCCCCTATTACTACCAACCCTGATACGTCGTATGTACCATCATTGATTGAGAAGAATCTGAGGAGGTTTATTTAATGCAAAAGAGATTGCCTTAAATCCAAATTAATAAGTGATAATAAACACCACACATGTTACAATTCCTGCTTAAAATAAAACTAAATGTACTGAATATTTGCTTGGGAACGGTGCCTCCCAGTGTGTTTATACATTTGTGGTTATCCCAAGCCCCCTGTCGAATTCACTGGGTTTGCTGCCGGGCCTAACCTCTGTGAAACAGATCTAGTGTGTGAACTACAATGAATACTAAAACCCCAGAGAGGCAAATTGATGAACAAGTCAAGCAATCAACCCGGAATTTATGCACGCAGACACCTGTGCCGGAATAATTCACCTTCAGACTGAAAACGAAATGGTAAAGGAGAGACCTCTTATTTTTAGATCAGTACATAGTGAAGATTAGTAACGACAGAGAATATATTATTAATTAATTTACATCTTGTTATCAGGTAAGATCCATTTTTAGTGTAATTTATTTAAAGAGATCGGAAAAGCATTGTAGAATACATGGTGATTGAATAAAACCTTTATTATTGATAATTTTATTCGTTTCTACCAATTGTTTGTGCACAACAGACTACTATTTTGACCATACAGTCCGCAAAACCATTAGGTTTAATTTATTTAAAAGGACGCTTTTTGTCCCGTTTTAGTCGCTTATGTCAACCAAAATAAGCCACAAAACTCTTTCAAAGCAACAGTTGGTATGCACCTCACATAAGGATCACACGAACCTCTTTATTTTTTTTAAAAATAAAGGTTAAAATATTGGTAAATCTTCAAGTGATGTCCTTGATGCCACACCTATGTTCTAGTTGTTGAATACTGGAATTTTATAAATTCCAATCGTCAAAGGGATCGAAGTTATCGATCTTGAACAGGGACCGATAGTTTATTAAGATGATGGACCGAACTAAGTTTATCACAAGCAACTCCTGCTGAAATGAAGTTTCTAAGTCATCAGTCATCTAACAGAGAAAATGATGTTACTGCGTGGGTTAACATCCGGGTGAGGCGTTGCTGCTCCTTCTCCTCATAATTTGACATTTCAAAAACTGCAAATGCAAAAAAGATGCCACATGTTTTCCTAAGTGATTTTTACTATTTATGTAAACCGCTGAACTCAGTAGTTCTGCTGACCTTTTAAATGAATTTGGCATTGTTGTCACGTGCCTTTGAACCCGATTTAAATGGTAAAAGCCGACCCCCGCCTGCAAGCTGACCATCACTTTAATGAAGTGAGGCGGTTTGTCCGGAAATTATTTGACTACATCAAGCTTGGTAAAGCTCAACAGAAGTTGCAATCGGAGGAGCATCACCTCACTCGAATGTCCGCTCACGCGGTTGACGGTCTGCCGTAAAGCGTCTGCTCATTCGAAAGAAACCCGAATTTTCGATTCCTGAAATGCTGCATACTAAAATGTACTCTTGAAATCTGTAAACAATGCCTATTGTGGAGCTGGTATTGCTTCAGGAGAGAGATGGCATAGATCGACAGCCTACACAATCTGTAGGATAATTTCAATGTTTCTAAATACCTTTAAAAACAACTTATTGAATGTGCATTGATGAATTTATTTTCAACACGAAATTACGACAACGTTGTAAGAGACTAAGAGAATAACAGCCCTACCATCACCATTGGCCACAGCAGAGATTATGAAAAGTTGATTTATAAATTACAATTGAGGACCACACGAATGACAGTGTTAGTTGGGCATCAAAAATGCTAATAATGATACAACAGGTGAGCACTGTTGAAGCCGAAATCGCCCAGTCTTGCCGGTAATTTGACTACTGTCATTCAGTCAAGCCCTGTTAATAAGGCTGTGAGGTGAGTAAGGATATTTTTAGCACAAAAGACGCTGTTACTATCGGTAGTTAACGCACCTGCTAGCCACCCAGCCGTATTTACCAAGCCCAGAGGCTGTATTGACTTTGTAGCAATTATATTGACTATGAAATGAAGTAAATTATGTTTGAAGGACTAATGGATGCCAAGCGTTTGTGCTCCGCAAAATCATCACTCAATACCCGGATTTGTGAGATTGTCTCCATTTTTTAAACTGTATTTTAGCAAAATCTACTTGGAAAGTTTATATTAGGCCAAGTTTAAAATCATGAAGTAAGTCAAACATAAGTAAAGGAGCATGGACCTTTTTTCATTTTGGCAAAAAAAAGAACAACGAGACCGTAGACATGAAAAAATCGTGCTCCGTTTAAAGACACTTCAAGAGAACGTGTGTGCCAAAAGTGGCTCGTAAAATTTGCCTCATGGCGTAACTAAATGTGAAGATGATGAGCACTGTGTAAAGCCTTGTCGACTAATGGTGACAAAAATCTTGACGTCAATTAAAATTCACCCAGTTCATGAAATACAAGAGGCCCAGAATAAATTGGTAGGCACATCTCACACGTTTACTTGTGGTTCCAATTTCAAAATCAGCATCTGTTAAGTTTAGTACAGTAAAAAGTAGCTTTTTCAACAGGTAGCATCTACTGGTGAAAACGTGGTCATGTGTGGTAACGTAGATGCGGAGAAAATGAGAAAAACGGCTGCGCCAGTGAGAAAAAAATTCCACTTGCCTACCTATGTAACACAGCGTGCTATTGAAAGATATGGTGATCGCAACGGTTCTACACAAACTTCTAATGAGTTTGCACAGTTAGCTCTGAAGTGTAAGCTCAGTGTAAATACGATTTATTTAAGTAAATTGACTTTACAAACACCGTGACCGAATCCCACAAAATCCCCTTCCCTGACACGTATTTCAGGTTCAGGTTGTTTTCAATCGAGCAATCACCATGAAAAAATAAGGCAGCCATGCAAAAATTGCTGGTGTTCTGCCGATTTTGCCCTGGTTTATCCCCTAATCCCTTGACCCGACGAAAACCAATTACCACTTCGGTGGATCTTTTCGACTTCCACTTAATGGATTAAATAAAATCCGTTGATTGGCCAAAGTTCTTACTAAAAATTCCCCAGTCCAAAAGCACGAAACCTCAGGTAGGAAAGTCGCATTACACTGACTGATAAATAGCAAAAGCTCATGGATTGGAAACTGCGCCAATTTTCATTAATTTGTGAATTTCGGAATATGTTGGGAATGTCAACGTTCCCTAAGAACTTAATTAACCTAGAGATTTGTGACTTCGATTCACTCAGATCTGTCCACACAATAACAACTCTACTGTCGTCCTATTCCGTTGTTCCTACTAACAACACATCACTTCGCCTTAATTACTCAAATCATCGATCTCAGATCACCCAAGAATACATAAGTGGATGCATCTGCGCATACACTTGACTTCCGCTTTGCTCGAGCTCCTGTCTTGTTCTGTTCTGGAAAGCCTTTGACGTGTCAAGCAAGAGATTCCAACTACTACCCTTGGAAATGCATATCTACAAACCGAATAAGGCGTAACAAGATGAAAGAAATTGTTTTGGATTCAAAAAAGCCTTTGAAAGCAGCTTGCACTTAGCGTAACATCACTAGAGGTAACCTTTGCGTTTCCAAAGCCTGGAAACCTCACCATTCCTTCCAAGGCATTATGTTTGGTTTACATTAAATGTCTACAAAATCACTTAAAATCCATGCTGCAAAGGTTTCATGAAGCCCTGAAGGCAGTCCACCGAAGTAAGAAAGTGGCAAATGACGCGTCTGCCTGCCAGTGACAGTATCCTAGGGTCTTCGTGAGGCTGTTACAAGTCTTCAAAAACGTTGAATTTGCGTGGAAGGACTTGCTTCACTTAAACACCCAGTGTGAGCCAGCTGGTCGATAACAATCGCACGATCACTTCGGATTTCACTCCCAGATCCATCACAGCAACACGAAATCGCTTACCATGGGTGCTACTTTTAATGGATCAACGCCCAAAAGGCCGAGGGGTGAGAATAACTGCCTCACTGCTAGTAGATTGTGGTTTTTAGGTCAAAATGAAGCTTGCCTTTTTTGTGCTGCGAAGAGTAACCCTGATTAAGGAAAAAAACCGTTCTCACAGTCCACAACACAAGGTCAGTACATATGAAAGTCATATTTTTAAATGAGCTCACAGAGAGTAGAGAGAGACACAACATAATATTGCCAAATAAATATTTAGAGGATGTTGAGGTAAAACAGTGCAAAGGAAAGGGGCTAGCGTCGAGAGAGAGACGGGATAGCAAACCACATCCACTCTCCTTCCTCGTTCTCTGTTCATGCGCCCCGCCAAAGGAAATTACCAACACACGAGTCTTGAGAAAAGAAAGGCAGAACAAAAATACAATATTGTGGATCGGGGAGGAGAAAGACTAAACCAGCGCCTTCGAACGGTGTCATGAGGAGAGTGGGTGGACAGGCAAGTGGGGCGGGGCAGATCGCACCAGCGACACAAGAAATAAATAAGTCGGAAATGAAGCTTGATATAATCAATATACAAACTGATAAAAATAACGGTTGTCGGTAAGTGAAAGAAGGAGTGTACATACAGAGAGGCAGATCGCGCGGTGCTGGCAGAGAAGATGAATGCACAAACACACAGCTGAGAGGGCGGGTTATGTAGAGGGCGGTAGCAGCAGAGTTGGCGACGGTATTATCTGTAATTACTAGCTGAGCGGCCACTCCGAGTAGAGGAATTTCGTGCGGATGAAGGAGAGGAAGCGGGGTCGACGGAAGAGGGGGAATTTGCGGACAAACTCGGCGACCGGTGGCGGTGATCGACAATGTTGGGTGACTCGAGAGACGGTAGGGTTCGACCACCGCCTTCGTGGGTGGAGGGTGCTTTGCGATGCGGCTTCTCGCCATTATTCTGTTTCGAGGTGGCCGAGGCGGTGGCCGCGTTGCCGCTCGCTGAGTTGTGATAGCTGGACCGGGCACGAGTAGAGTTCCAATTGGAACCGGAGCTGGCCGAACCCATGTCATGTCGAGGTGGCATCCGCTCGTTGATCAAATCAATCGCTTTGGCTTCCTCGAACGATGTTATTTTGTGATTGGGGGCCACTCCACACAACGCTACAAAAATTAGGACATGTTGGTTGAGCCTATACGGAGGTGTTGGTGCTGGGGCCTTATAATACCGATTAAGCATTAATTACCCAATTTGGCACATAAATCGTTGTAAAATTCAGTCCACTGTTGCGGTTACGACCAAAAGATCACCCCTTATAATGAGATACCACATACCAACATCAACTCAAAAGGTTATGAACATCTAACAACATGAAAATTGACGAAAGAGGCAATCATTGAAACAGGTAATTGGAATTATCGTGTTATTTATGGACAAAAACCGAGAACTGATTAAATTGCATGCAAATCTTTACACAGGAGATCTTGAATAGGTGAAACAGCTCTGATGATTTACTGACTGACTCATTCAGGCTGATACTGATTTGCAGATATCAGTAGAGTTAAAATCTATAGGTATCGAGCACTTGGTTGCCTTATGGTCTTTGATTCCTAGTAAACAAATGTCTAGCTTGGTTATCGCAGGCACTACATCATTTAGTCTAAAGTACCTCTCAGAAAAAAGGCTTCTCTTTACAGGATTTCTAGAATAATGGCAAAAGACTGGACGAAAATGTAACTATGGCACTCAGGAAAGGTTTTTTGGGATCTAATTTAAATGACTTACACTTTCTGGTTTTTTAAACTTAGAAGTCGGAAAAAGTGAATTGCACGACACAAATCTTGCCTAGTTGGAACTGGGGCATGGACCCAATGACGTCGAAGTGGATTCGCAAGTTCTGTTGGACTTTTTTTATGTCGGCCAAAGTTTATTTGGCATTCAAAGCACGGACGCGGAGGCAAGCAATAAAGACCTACCCGTGAGCAAGGTTTCTCTGCCACCTGAGAGTGCACCGAAGGGGAGCATTCCGTTGGGGGTCAGGCCTTTCAACTCCAACACGCTTTCGCTCTCCTCTCTGTCATTAGGAAAGATAGTTAAACAATCGGAGTTAAACAGTTGTACAAGTGGGTTTGTGTGGACTACGCTCCCCGCTTCGACCACGGTTTCATGGCGCATTCGCAGCAAGGTTCTGCTTGCTACGTAAAAACTGTCGTTTTCACTGGAAAACGAAATGAGGAAGATGAATGTAGGGTGCAATGAAGGCGTCTCCCTTCATACAGCAACGTGTTTTGGTGGAAGTGCTCTCTTTGAACCGGTCAACGGGTTGCTAGTCAAATACTTGAAATTCGAAGACAGCACTATTAGCAATAACTGACACTAACGGCATGTTAATTGTAAATGGGACGGTAACTTCATCACTAGATGGGTCAAGGTAGATTAAAGCCTTTTAAACTGGGCCACCGGAGCTTGATTTGGAAAAAGACTGCTTATCCACCTTACATTGGAAATTGATTTCAAGTAAACTACGAGACAGATGGCACCCTAGGGTTTCTCCATGGCTATTTAACACATGAAAACCTCTTGGGGAAAGACATTCAGTTTATGCTGGCATTATCGCCATTAGCAATCTAACTACGCCAAGTTTCACCCCATGGAGATGTAAAATTCGGGATAATTTTACGTTAGATAGACTACCAAATTTTGATAATAATGTAACAGTGTAGGCCGGGCATGTGAACTACATGATACCTAGTCTTCAAATGCCCCAAGAGAAAGATATTCCTTAATTGGAGATTGGCTTCGTAGAACATTAATGATGACATCAACACGGTACCAACTCTAAGAATGCACAAGTCATGAAATTACGTCTAGGCATATTTTAAACTATTTAAAGACGTCACTTAAATGGTCCGATAGTTCATAAGAATTTGTGTTAGATGACGCCTGGTTTAGGAAGTGTCTCGACAAGGCGAACCCGACGGACGATGGAAAAGCAAGCGACAACTAAGCTGCCACTGAAAGAGATCCAATAATCCTCCATCATGAGTGGGTGAAGTAACAGAACCGCAGTGTGCACCCGACCCAACACTGCGTGACTCTGGAGCAGCGAACGAAGTGCACAGAAAACACACCGTGTGCCGGTTCAAGAGTTCTTCGAAATTCAGAACAACGCGCAGATTGATAGGATTTTGTACTTGATCATTTGAGGCACAGTCGTAAGACAGACAATTATGATTCTATCACCATCATGTGTGTGTGGTGTGTGGCAGAAAAATAGAGAAAACACAGGAATTTCTCCCAACACTACCGATGTTCAGGAAAATGTCAATCAGTCTCCACCCTCGTTCCGTATTATGTCGAGAATCAATTAAAACTGGGTAACTGAGCCAAATTTCCAGACTTACACAACGACCCCTGTGAATGACTTGTCTCAAGTAACACGCTCCCAGTGACCACATGAGACACAAATGCCTGTCATCAAAAAATTGCGCAACAGAAATGAAACTCATTTAAGGGTGCCAATCTCGTTTGATTTGATGCAGTGATTGAAAAGACGAAATCCCAATCAAAGAAACGAAGGAGTTCTAACAAGGCATGGTGATAGCTAAATTGGCATCCACTTGATCATTTATGTAAGTAACAATGTGACACCATTCTTTACAGAAAATAAACACAAACTGCTTAATAACACATTCCCGACGAAGATATGATAGACCGATGGCCTCGAACAATCAAAGTGGAACAAATCATGCCTAATACTCCGCACAAACACACTACCAATAGTTTCATTAATAGAATTTCAGATACTAACAAGATTATGGACAATGACGACATTATAAAAAAAGGAGTCCAAAACAATTCTCCGCTTGTTCCTACCCTTCGGCGTCTACCGATACTCATCTCTAAAAATGTGCACATTCTACATCAGTTAAGCGACACTCATGGCGACTTCAACACCAACCATTAGCACACGGCACTTCTGGCTGACAAATTTCCCAAGGCACCCGTCACTTTGGCATGCGCATTTAAGCATTCCGTGTCTTCAATGCTTCGGATGGTCACTAAGCATGGAGAATCAGGCGCACTTGGGCTCCACAATACTGTCTTCGGTGGTCACGCGTGTGTGAATGCCGTTGCGTCGTTGACTAATAATGCCATGCGCGCACCCTTGCCCTCCGGCATAGCGCTTCTGCTCACTGATCCAAACGCGCCAATGGTAATTCAAAGAGTCTCACTCCTAATGCAAGCCAAATATACGGCCAAATAGAGAGATCGTGTTTTCTCCAGACTGAACCCGACAGAGCAAAAAGAAAATATGAATAATTTTTTTTACTTTTCCATTATAACAGAACTAATTTTATGGCACACACCTAAGCACCACGCCAACTCGTCTTGAAAACCTCAAACACTTCAGTATAAAGGAAAAACCGTTGGCACGTGGGTACTTACTATCCGTCATGCAAATAAAGCAGAATTCTTCCTCCCACTGCCTAGTGAGTTCGCCTGCTATATTGTGTGTGGATGGACTCACGTTGCAATCTTATTATTTTTCTAAAGCTTCATGTTGATGATATTCGCTACCGTTTACAAAAATCAGTCTTCCCACTCTTCACCTTCGCTTCGTGTCGGGTGAATAATTTCATAAAGAAAAGCTTTGACGTAGTAACTAGAATTTAAGGGAAGACCTAGTAACTGGAGGCGGAAATAGGGCCACATTTCCAAGCATATTTTATTCTGCCTTAAACGAGTTGCAAGTACGATTAGAACACTAGAGGGAGGTATCATAGGCTGGATTTTTGCCAGCACGCAATAGGATGGATTAGTGATGAAACCATTGTTTCTGTTGTCTACCACAACAGGGCCAGCAAATGGCACTTCTAACCCCTTACTTTCAATTGTTAGTCGGTAGTTAACCAAGTGATTGAATAAAAAAGGAATTCGTATCCCCAACGCGTACCGCTTAGTTGACCTTTTCGTTATTGCTTCAAGGCAAACCGATCAGCAATTTTATGGTGCCTCAAAATGCATGGTAGGAGGATCGGACAAATGAGACAAAGTGGGTCGCAAAATCAGCCATGGTTTTCAGAGGATGACAAAGTGAAAGAAGAACTCGCTGGCATTATTGAATGCTGTAGTCACCGACAGTTCGATTGTAGTACAGAACTGTTGGCATGACGAATGGAGATGTAAGCTTCCAAGGAACTCGCAAAGACAGTTTTCCTGCACTTACAAAATCCTCTAGTAGAAAGATTGGTAATTCACTACGGGAATAAATTACATAATTACCTTTTAAGAAACCAATCTTCAGTGACTTCGATTCTAGAGCGAAATGTCCTTTTGGTTGTTTGCATTTAGCACTGTGGCTTTAAGTGAAGCATTCTCAAATGTTCTATCTGATGCAGGTGGCAAGGGTTCACGATACGAATACAAAACATCCAGCGGCTTGTGTTAGTGTACGCAACTTTCCATGTCACTATCGTCTCCACCAATCTGAGACGAGTGTTGAGCACGAGCACTCTAACAAGGTTGCATGATTTGTGACTCAACCTGAATGGACTCTTCTCGCACAGGAGTAGTGGAGTGAAAAGTAACAATCTTAACTACACTAAACTTATGTTTATGATTAAAACCATGCCTTGTTTACGGGTAAATCTTGGTGTTCGCGCGTATATGTAATCTCATGATCAAGGCGACACGCAGATGGACTAATTCGGATTTTACGCAAGTCACCTCGGCAAATGTCATTTTGTGTACACTTAGACGAACGAAGGAGTGAGCAAGACCCTGTGAAAAAAATCGAATCAACAAAAATCACAAGATGCGACAGGCTTTATGTTTATTGGTTAATTTATGCAGCACCACCCCTAGCCACGAGCACCTCGTTCACGTGAAACGCAATGTAGCGAAATATGTTTGTCAACTTGACAAAGATTTGCAATGAAGCAGTAGGCTGAGCACGCTTCAGCTGATCGAAAATGGGATGTGTGGATGTAAGGTTTTAAAACGGAACGGATTCAAACACGTACAAAAAAGTGCTTAAATTAATGAACCAGCCATAAGGACTCACTTTGCTATCAATTTCGAGTATAAAGAACATGTAATCCAGGAAGCATTAAAGACATCGCAAACGATTTTCTTACGCTCCAATGAACTCGTGTTATGTACTCTGAAATTAGGGAGCATTTTGAGGCAACTCAAAAGATTGTAGGGGGAATGCAAAAGATCAAGAAATCGGTTTACAAACATGTTATTTACTATTTTGAGTTCGGTAGTTTATCTTGAGCTTCTATTAGATGTTATTTAAGCAACGAGTAAAATCCATCAATGACATTAATGGGGTGCGGTGCTTCAAAAAAAGAAAACCACACACACCACCAACTTCGCATCGTTACAAGAGAAAGAGTGGTGTGACAGAGTAAAGAAACGTACCTCAGCACAGTGAAAACTCTCGCCATCTTGCCAATCGCTCGAATCTTATTTCTGATCACCTCCTTTCGAGCCGCCACAGTCCCACCTAAAACAAATAGAGCAAGCAGGATGAACAATGAGGTGGTTGGAAAGGGGCCGAATCGGCGAGGAATAAGTAAGAGTGAGACGGAGTGGCATAACAAAACCAACGAACACGACCGCATAGATAGGTGAATAGGTAATTGCACAAAAGCAGAAAGGTAGGCAGGTGTGGAAGAGGTACGCGGGCACCCGAGAACTAAAGAGAGACACATTGCTTTGTAAAAGGAAGCAAACCAAGGAGAAGGGGGGCTAGGCCCAAGCAGATGGCCCCTTTCAAGTTACTAGTGGTTAACTTGCAGTGCTGGATTTCCCCTGCCTGCAACCGCCTTTCCCGGCTGTTCCCTGGTGGTGCAGAAAATTGAGAAAAGTAATCCAGCCAATGACAACGCTTTGTCAACAGGGCGGCAAATGTGCAAACTGCTTTGAAAGTCATTTACCACCACAAGTCACAACAATTGAGCAAATTGATTCAAGGTCAAAACGTAAAATTTTTCGAAGTACCACTTTACATTCGATTCTACTTTCTATGCATTATTATCCAGGCAAAAAACCTATTATGTGAAAAATTTCATTTATTATAAATTGCGCTTAGACTATTTAATGCCCAATCAATGAGGAAATAGAGAAAATTCATTATTCCTTTGAAAAACGCACAATGAGGAAACTAAAAGCGCATGCTGTGCGACCTGACGTCGCTATGCCATACTTGTAAAAAAAAGTTCAATGATCATCAGGCGTGGGTGGGAGCAATATAAGTGATCTGTGTGACACTGTCTGATCTCCGAAGAACGCCAGAAGAGGATTGTGCCTTGATTGCCAATTAGCTTACCTAGCCATTGAACCAAAGAGTTGGGCGCGGACGAACCCGTGCGATTACCGAACTGGCTTACCGCTAACACTTACTTAGAGGCATTCATTGTGACCCAGTAATTCATTTGATAACAACCTACTTGGTTCTCACTCTCCTATACCTTACTGCAATGCAACTTCACTGATTTATAATCACTCTCTCGTGTGCATTTTTGTTTCGTCTCAACTTTCAATTGTCAATTGACAACATATCAAGTCTGAAGCTTACCGCTGGGAAATGGACTGCTTCTTCCTGTTTAAGTCAGCAATCCTAAACAACTTTAACTCTTATTTCAGTGTAAACAAGGGCTCTCCATCTCAGTAACAAGAACAGACCAATTTCGGGTCATTACATGTCATGTATTACTATTTGTTGGAAGATTTTGATGGAATTGAAGGAACGAACTGTGTGGGGTCGGTAGTTCGATCTAAGATGCACAAGCGACTACTCTGCTAAAGTTGACGACTACTTTAAAGCAGGGGTAAAAACAAGCAAACTTGGCGTGTCACTATGACGTGCCACCACACATATTCGCCAGAAAAACAGTCACGAGCACAAGCACATGGAGGGTCCTGACAGAAGCGACGTAAGCTCTGACAGCTGTCGCACAGACACGACTGGGATAGCGCGTGGACACAGAGCCATGCTACCGTTAGGCAAACACACACACACACACACAAGTCCCCGGCAGATCACAACTACGAGAGTGCTTGCTGCTGGGGGGCTGTAGAGATAAGCGCGGTCACCGTTAGGGGAATACATCGAATACTAAGGAGTACAAATTTCAACACGAGACAACAACTCAAGCTGTTCATTGAGGATCTGATCTCATTAGGGTGTTCCACAGGTCTGGAATCACTTCACCACTTAATTACTGTAATAAATGGACGTTGTCGTTGATGGAAGTACAAAGTAAGTAAATCTGTCATGAAAGATAACGTATTGTGTGGAAGAGTAGTAATACATAACATAACCTGTGGTGTTACAAGAAAGCCCTGCCATATTCAGCACACGGATTTCTTAAAAATTTAACTGAACGAGAACACAACAGTTGATCAACTTTCAGGGATCATATGAAATATGTTTGTGTAAAACTTTTTCAGGTGGGAAGAATGTAGAATGGAGCCTAGATGGAGTCGCTGAAGTGAGAATCACCAAATCGACTTAAGCTTTGAGGTGAAACAAGGTTAGAAAGATAACAGAAATAGGGCCACAACAACTCATTTCAAAGATCTCAATGAATCAAATGCATGTACTTGATGACACTAATTTTTTTACAAGATGCGCAATCAAGCAAGCGCAAACAACTTCCATCGACGAAGAGGTGTATTCTCGTGCAAAAATACAATTCAAGTAACTGGTTTCAGTCATCCTACAATGACAACCAAGGCACATGGTATCACCACGAGGCTTCAAAATTAAGCTACTGACATTAGCCCCTTCATTTTGCAACTTTTAGCTCAATGGGCAACTTTACACAAGGGTAGCCACCGAAAGGTGGCGTCTCTGTTAGCTCGACGCCCCGAAACATGTTTGGCTGATTTGAATCAAGACGAAGCAATTAGAAATTCCTCTGTTGATCATTGGTTTGTTTAATTGCTATTGTTTTAAGGCGTTCGCGCATCAAAGCAACAGCACACATGCAATCTTTGGACACCATTTTTTTCTTTAAAAAATCACAAGACATGTTGAATCCAAGCAAGGTGACCACTTTCAAAAGCCCCTTTCCCGGAGAACGCACAAAAGCGAATAAGAAAATTACAATTGTCTGCCGACGTGACTGCGGTACAAGCAAGTACAAGCAAGCTGGTGTTGAGACATACACTCCGCGCCCACCTCTCTACAGTGGTATGAAAAGCAGTACTACACAAACAACAGCGGAGTGTGATCTAGTCAAAATGGCGGACACACTGTGTCTACGCACTACGTGTATTTGTGGTTGTGTGTGAGGTGGAGTTATGCAGGGACCAACTTACCTTCTATTAAAAAGAAAAATAATGAAATTGCATTAAACAGGTGATGGAATGATAAATCAAACTCAACCAAACAACCAACCACACCTACATCGGTGGGAGCCTAGTTACCGGGCCGGGCGTACTTGCCCTGGCTTGAGGTGACACTCGGACTAGGTGGACCCGCAGGCAGAACCGGATGGCTCAGGGCCCGACCTAAGCCCATGGGGAGAACTAACAAAATTTAAGCGTTTTTGTAATGCGGCAAAAAACTGCTTGCCTAGTTGCATCACCTGCAATCTGTTAATATACCCACAACACCCCACCAAACTTGTGGCTTTGGGTGTGATGAGACTGAATGCTGCAGTAACATCGACGCCTAACTGTCTCCTACACAGCAACGTTAAAAACACGGTGTCGTGACACATATATTTAGAACATGCGCTCAAAACATCATCTAAATACGGTAGTGGGATTGTTTAAATGACCCGAGACTGCTATGAATAACACCAATGGCGGTTGAAATTGCGCCGATCGATGGAAGCCAACGGGTTGCTACCTATGTGATATTAGGCTTAACTAAAGTATGTTTATGCGACTTCTGCAACAATCCAAATAGGCCCCCATCTGCTTCATAACACATCACTCGACGTCTGCGTATTAACAGCGGTTCGCACGACTGCACTTAGGTGAAACATCCACCTAAAGCAGATGGGGGGCTTGTGTAGCCATAGGACATCCGGTTCAAAATCAACTGTCTAGAATGAAGGCAACTATGACTTAGACTTTACTAGTACTTGAAATCTAAAGACGGAACTACGCTCGCAGATAGGGGATGAGGCATTTAAGGACACTGTCTTCTAGGAGTAGTAGTGAAGCGCTTGAAGGAATCCGGTGGAATTTGAGAGGAAGAAAAGAGGACTCTGACCCAAAAGGGAACACAACGAAGGAAATGACTGAAACGGCTGATAAAAGCATAAAGTTCATTAGTATGTGCAAAAAGAAGGACGTAAAGAGTTGTGGTGATACATGGAAGGAGGGAGAAGAATAAGAAGAAGAAGAAGAAGGGGAAAAGGAGAAGATATTAATGGGCATGGAGCCGATAGCACATGAAGAAGAAGCTGTGAGTTGCAGGGAGAACTAGGTATTAGATGAAACCGCGATAAATAAAATGCAGACAAAAAAGTAGGCGATGTGTTGAAGAGCGGAGAGTGAGCAACAGGGGGGACGGAGGAGTGTTTAGGGAAGCAAAGAAATAAACGAAAATGGGGCGAATCTACGCGAGGTAAAGGTGAGATTGCTGGTGCCCTCATGAGGTCGTGTTTGGTTTACGTTTTTGGTTAATGTTGCAGCAAAAGCGAGGAATGACGCGATAGGGCAAATAACTGAGCAACAATATTATCTGAGGCCAAATACGCACGCAAATATCAAATGCACCAGAGAGATAAGGCTCGAGCGCGAAAAAAACGCGATGCGCTGCTGCTGTTGTGGTTGCTGCTGCTGTTGCTGCCGTCAAGTAGGCCGTTTTTAAAGGGTGTGTGAGTGCGTGTGTTGATAAGCCAATCGGGACTGCCACTGCACCACTACCAACCCAAGTCTGGGGCCTTCTTACCTGGTTGACTGTGAGCTGCTAAAGGCACTGGGATGGCAAAAGGTACACATGCAAGATTAACACTTTCAGAAGATGTTAGTTAGGGAAGGCAATACAGGAGGCAAGATGTCTTACCTTCAAACGTGTCGTCTGCATCCGACAAGAGTTCATCATCAGAGCAGATTTTGAGTACATTCACCAACATCTCGGTTACTGAAAAGATTAGACAACCGCACCATTAGTCAGCGTTTTCGCCCAGTCCGTCTGAATACTTACATGAATGAGAAATGTAACACTATTTGAATAATGGGAGCGACTTCCTCTTAGCGTCATTAACACTACATTTGTTTATACCGGTTTCGGCCGTTACATTAAAATTCATGTCCTGGATATTAAAACTCACCCCTCGCCTCCAGGGTTGGCTTCTTAATTACTCTGGTAAAGTCTTGATTTGCGTTTACCCGGGCAACGGTAATTGCTTAAACTTTAATAGGGATTATTAACTATACAGCAATATTTCTGAATAAATATGAAGTCACTGACACGCAAGCCCGAAGAAAAGCGACTTGGGGAAGCGCCAATGCTTAGGGCAAAAAGCTAGAGGTAACTATCACGCCTAAGTAGGAGGCTTTGAGCCTGAAGTGAAGTGATGGGGATGTCGCCAATCGAATGCAGGCCACGGCTAAAAATAGCCTCACTAGTTCCAAAGTGATAGACTTGAAAACAAAATTAACATATGAGTTGCATGGATTTCCTACTTCGGGTTATGAAAATAACACCATTTTAAAAATTCATTCAAACCTTGTCGAAAAAATCAAGCTATCAGATGACAAATAAGAGCAAATCTGAGGACTCTGTCTGCTTCACCACTCCACAGATCGGAAGCTAATCCAAAAGTATTGGTGACGTACAGATGATTTGAATATAAAAAAAGCGTCCCAGAGACAATTTTCGGACTTAGAAGATGAAGCAAATGGCAACTGAATGAGTCGCAATTTCGCATACGACAGAGCACGGTGTCAAGTAGTTAATAAACGAGTTGACGAAACGCGCAATCAACACGCATTGACGGGTTATCGACAAGGATGAAAGGACTTGGGTTGAAGTAGGCGATGATAACCAAATAAGCCAATTCGTCATTCGGTAACGGCACTTGAGCAGCCCAAGTGAAAAAGGATGCTAAAGTTAGGTCAAGAGGACGTTATTTCAGCAGAAGACTGTCCCTGTGGACCGTTGACTAGGACACGATGAGTGCATGGAGCTAGCATTACCACCAACATCACTATGCTGGTAACGGCTTCAGAACTCGAAACAACACGATAAGATATCGACAGGAAGGAGGTTTTGTTTTGAAAACAAAGAGAAAAAAAAAACTTTGACAGAACGGCGCGAAGTATTGAAGCAAAATGTTATGCTTGGTGTTCCGCCCTGCTAATGTCCCTGCCGGACGTAATATTTATTTCTAGTCGCCTTCATGGGAAAGCAGGGTACGAAGCACGACTAGAAGACGGAAATGAACCAACATTTTAAGTACCTAAACGCTAAACCACCTAGTCCAGTGGGCGAAGATATTTACTTAGTTGAAGAACCGCACCACATCGGAGTCAGATTAGGACGCAATGTCACAAGGATTATAGAAAAGAACAAAAAATAAATTGACATTTAATATACAGCTCTACCAGTCAACTGGAAAACAGAGGGAGCCTAGGAAAATTCACCATTTCCGTGAAGCTTCCCTAGTTTGGTAACCACAGCAGATACCTTGAACGTGTTTCATCAAGTGATCCATCCATTTATAAGAATTGTAAATGTCCGAATTGTGGACATACGAACGCACCCTTTTCGCCGACAAACGGCAAAGACCAAGTGAAGACGTCCATAAAGTTGGGAAGCCAGTAGGGATGAGAAGAGCAATTGAACTGCCTGATGTTCATCACATTATTTTCGTACTTCAGAATGGCGGCTAAAATTTAGAAAAAAATTGATGACTAGAGTAGATTTGGCCCCCACTTCCTCCCTCAGTAAAAACACCAACTAATTTGGTTGATTTGTGAGAACCTGTTCACTTGTCACACCCCTCGGTTACTATGAACTGGTGGATCTAGTATTCACTTCTCACATAACTAATTCTTATCGTTCACATTATTCGTTAGCGGCAAATTTTGCCACTTCAAAAAGCCTCAACGCTTAACTGCTGGTGGGGTCTGGCAAAACTTTGTTTGGCCACTTTGAATATTTTATGCTTGCTAAAATTATCCACAGGAAGACGAGAATGCGATGTTGACGCCTCTGGGAAAACACAGACGGTCAATTTGAAGTTACGCGTGAATGTAGCATCGAGGGTTCCAGTATTGTCGGAAGAAGGCAAAAGGTATTTCGATTGGCTTTATTTCGTTCTCATGTGTCGAAATGGGCGACACAGAAGCACTGAAGTTAGTGGTGGGTCACTGTTTTTGAGCAATTAATTCTAGTTTTTTACCATTTTACCATTGACAACAAGATCAGTGTGGATACAGTGATAATGTTTGCAGATTCAAGAAATTTGTGATTTTATCAAGTGCCCATGATACTAGACAAATCCCTCCACAAATTCAGAAATCGCTAGCACGATTCATGAGGTGTAAAATATGCCTGGCAGAAAACCTGCGGTCACTGGCACAGGGGAACTAGGGAAAGTATACCGTTAGATAGATTTTATGCGGAATGTGACACTTTAATTACTCAGCGAATTTTATGCTCACCATAACAGTGAAAATGGGGAAAGAGCGCATTTGTGAACGTGATGGATTTTAGCCGTCAGTGCAATCTTTCGACTAACCTTTCAAGGAGATAATTTAGAGATCCTGGATTTAAATGTCCTAATCTAGGTGAGTGAGTATCAGTGCAAAAAGTATGAAAATGGATTGCTGGGGTGCGTGTGGTGTGTAAAGAACTGGCCAACCGAGAGTTGACATCGCGGGGATTAACGCAGGTATCACAAAAACCAACGCGGCGCGGACTAACGGTCGAATCGCTTTGAGCGACCAAACTTAACACTAGATTAAAGTTTTAGACAACTCTGACAATGAATTTACACCACTGGCTAAATTAGAGCAAGATTTTCGCTGTGCTTGAAACAATACTTTTACGCCAAAAACCATATTTTGAATTAAGAGACGTACGTTTACACTAAATAAAAAGAATGTTTTTTTTATTCGGAACAACACTACGTGCCGTAAATGGCAAATGTGGTTGTCTCCATGAAAAATTCATTACACTAGTGTCTTGACACGTTAATAAACAGGATGGTTTGAATTTCAGCTTTCTGGGCAAAAAAGCGCGCCATTGATGGGCAACCTTTGTTTGATTGCTTGCAGATTTAAAATAGGCGCGAACAAGTCTGATGTCGTCTAACCTAACATGTCGAGGACTGCTTTTGTGAAACCGATGGAGCCTTTCTACTAAGCCATGGAATCCCAAAATTAGAAACTTTGCGCTTCCCAGACTGTCTGGCGACCATACCGGGATTGTACCCAGCTGACGTGCCTTTTGACAGCTAGCCAACGGTTTTCCTACGCCTTCAATGCCAACGCAGTTCTTGACATTTGAGCAGGAGAGAAAAATGCCTTGCGTATTTTGGAAGTCTTTGTATAGGCATTATCTCTTGTGCGGGTAGTAACGAGGTTGCAACGAGACAGGATGTGTGGATATGTCATACGCACCAGTGCCGAATGGGCTAGAACCCGTTAGATTTTATAGCATAAAATGGAATTCAATGTTGTGTACACAGAATAAACATTAATAAAGCATGGATTTATAGCTCTGCTTGACGATACTCTTCCATTTTTCCGTGATCTTCATGGTCTCGTTCTCTTGGAATTCCCGGGCCTTTTCAGCAAAATGCAAAACAAAGAGATATTAAGGGTTCCTAGTACTAGACAACGTCTAACCCTTCGAAGCAATCCATAACCTGAAAGTAGGGGTCAGGTAACAACATTTCCAAACCAAGTTTCTTTAAGCTTTCGCGAGTAATTAAAGATGCATTGAACACCCTGTTATCCTGGTGGAACACTAAACCTTGGCGAAATGCCAAGTCTGGCCCCATTGCTCTAACATCTCCCGCCAGTTTAGCTATTTGTTCACAGTAGACGTCCTTAGAAGTAGCTCGAAATATACAAGGAACCCATCAACAGTTCTATTGTATTTAGTCTTTTATGCGATTCATGCCACATGCGCTGAATTATACCTTTTATCATCATCAGTTGTGATCCGATTCACAGGAGGATCGATTTCACTGGGGTCGATAAACATACTGAATTATTTGTACTCTGTGTTAGGTATAATTTTATAATTCAGGCGAAACCCATACTTCGAGGTTCCTGACAAGTCAAATGCATTTTAAATGATTCTCAATGGGTTCTCGTGATTTGTTCAACGCCTCTGCAACCTCGCTCACAGTTTTGCGAAAATCTGCTGAAATTATGTTATGGAGTTGCATCGCACCAAATCTAACAGGGACAAAATTTTAAAGACAAATTTTGATGCTTACGTTCTGCTAGTCATTCAACACTGCAAACTTTGCACCCTATGCTAACAGCTGCAATCGATATGACTAAATTTTCCTGCAAAGTAAGTTAAAATTTACACCTATCGAGTGTCTAGTAAAAAAGAGTACCATTTACAACGCGACCTGTTTGGAAAAAACGGAATTACTATACTGAAGCCCAATCAATTTGAACTAGCATACCGCACACAAAGTCGTAGGCAGCTACCTCAAAGCAGGAGATGTTTTAAAAATACGAGAGAGTGATTACTGTGTTCCTCTAATTTAAACGACACAAGCGCAAAAGTAATCCAACCGAAAGCCATACAAGTCATTTTAAACATCATACATTTAAAATCAACCTATCTAGAAGTGAACCATGGGTTTCACTATCGTGCGATGTGTCAGTTAAGTGACTTGTAATTGAAATCGAGAATAACTGCAGAATTAACTTAAAGTTAAAATGGATATCGTAATTAACAGGAAGCGTCGTTTACAGTGGTGGTGAGTGTGGGACAATCATGGCCTTTCCGAGAGTGCAACACAACCAACAAACGCTCAAGGACGAATACACATTTAAAAAGGCGTCGGGGAAATGGGACAAAAACAAATTATGTTTGTGCCCTAACTTCCGAAGGCTGTCAGCTGCAGGTCCCATGATACTCACTGAAAATCCAGGATGTAGGCTAAATATGACAATCGTGTCGGGTATGAATATGTTTGAATCGGAAAATTGTGCAAATATTTAACAAACTTGATTTGAAATAATCAGCAAAATTCGCACACAATTCCATTCCCTTAAGCTGCCAAGTTAAAGGCAGGCTGTCAGCAACGCGTTCGTGGGAGATTCTGTTTAATGACAGTGGTCTTGAAAGTTGACGTGAAAAGTGAAGGACTTACCTTTGTTGTTATACACATCAAGATAATTGGGAGCACTGAAGATTGTGATGAGGGACGGAAATCCGGTGGCCTGGTTTTTCCTATACATTCGGTATCTGAGAGTAAAAAAAGAGCTATTGAGTTGTTTCATTTTACCTCAAGACTAAACATTTACTCATTTGGAGTGATTGTGAAATCAGGTCTTTACGATAAGACAGAGGGAAGAAACTTACACAGCTTTGTGAGGTGTATTAAGGACAACCTAGATTTCAGAGATAAGAGGTGAAACGATATTATGGAGTAGTTTTAGGAAAAACTAAAAAAGGCCATTAGGATGTTAGAAACAATACACAATCTAGAAGGTCCCAGCAACGGGCTCCAACAGTAATACCAGAACATCGAGAGGTCTGAGAAAAAGGACGGTTTATTATTTGAATTTCACAAAAAAGATTCGTATTCTCTTATCTCCCGGTAATAGTCATGCCCTCTGTAAAAACACACCTCATTCATTCCAGGTGCAAATGTGTGCAAATCTGTCGAATTGGCCGATAATCAAAGCGCCCATTTACATGGTCGTCAACTCAAAATTCCCGTGCGCTTGGGACGCGAGTTCACTGCTGTGGAATGAAATGCCACCAGTTCAAATTGGATCTGCTTACAAATAATCCCTAACACACGCCCCTCCCCAAAAGCGCACTGATGTTCTTTCGCTTTTACCTTATGGCTGCTGTGAGTGGGACGCAAATCGACGTGGACGACAGAAGACGAACAAACACGTAAGTGCACAAAATGCACCGTGGGCCAAAAGAGCTTGTTGACGCCCGACTCATTAGATAAATGATTGAGCAACACAGCTGAGAGAAGGCGAAAATGGACGAGGTTGGCGGCTCTAGTAACAGGAGATGAACAGCAGTGGGTTAAACCAGTGACCTACTTGTGATTTGATGTGACCAAACCAAGTATTAATAACTTTCAACAACACTTGGATCACGTTAGATATCAAGGCCCAGAATAGGACTATCGTAAGAAAGCAGATATACGCACTCCTGAGCTTAACAAACAGGAGTCTACCCAACACGAGATCGACCCATTTGTCTCGTGGGTGGAGCAACACACCACGGCCATGGCGCACGCGACAGCGTATTTAAAACATTGAAAATCCTGTGACACAAAACAACACCGACTTTTGTCCATCAAATCGTGAGGTCACGGAAATGCTGAAGCCCACCATGTGAATGCAGCAGCTGATTGACATCAACCTGTTCCCATAGGAACCAATATTCATTCAATCGTGCAGGCAAAATGTCAGAAAAGGCCTCATCGACTAAGACAAACAAAAGGGCTTTGGAATTTGCCAAATTAATTTGCATTGCATCTCGTGTTGCCTTTGTGTTCAAAGTGCGAAAACAAAGCGCAGATTCCAAAATTGTAGGATTTGGAGTAAAATTAAAACCCTCTCCTAAGCGGCTTAATCTTCCCTCCCCTACTAAGCTGTTTTTTTAATTTTAACAGGAAAACGGGCCCACCACATGCACAAAATACGACTGACTAGGAGCAAAGCAAGTCGACGGCAAAAAGGACGTTTCAAAAGATGCAGGCTTTCGGCGTGGTGGTGATCGGATGGCAATCGTGATCAGCCCTGCAAGTATGAACTAATAATTCTTTAAAATTGCTTACTTCATTTCGAAGAAGTGAGACAAACGTTTGTTAATGCCATGTATAAGTGCTCCTAGCTAAACGAATTTCGTACAGGATTAGAAAGCGCAGTTTTAAATGAGACTGAGAAAGTTTTGTAATAGAAACCGAATTTGTTAGCCAGAAAAAATATCCGCCAAATGATGGAGTGGGTGTTTTTCGCATTTATCACAAGGTCAGTGTTTTGGGAACTCGCCATCTCCTGGGGTGTGCACTTAGTACAATTGTGGATTCAGCGCCAAACAGTAAACAAATGTCTGGGAAAAGCGATATGCACTAGAATACTTTGGGTTACTCGAACCAGACGACGATAATTGGCATTAAATGTACCGTAAACTATCGCATAACTAGAATTTTGACCAAAATCCATGGCAATTAGCGTATGCAATAAATTTTAGGAATCTCTTGCATTGATAATTATTTTGTCGTTAGACTTAGTGATTCTTCTCCGAAAATTTTCCTATACTTCGGACTGCAACCAAATAAGTTCTTAAGAGAACATAAGACGACAGTTTGTCCGTATGAGGTCTGAGAAGTAAGGGTGTGCAAGGCAAAGCCATTCAGCGTTCAGCTGAGTGTAACTGTGAAGCAGTTACAAGTATCTTCCCTGCTGGCAGACACCGAAAGCCATTTTTTGGACTTGTACCTTCGTACCCAAACACTACCTCAACGGTTTAGGCTTCACAATATTTGAGAAGCCCTGTGTACAACGATTTTTTGCCATTCCACCAAGAACACAACTACGTCTTTGTAAATCACACTTTTCCATGACTTCGGTAACACTGGATGTATGGATGAGATGGTAGCATCACCGTAGAAAACACATTTTCCATCTCTGATAACAAGACGACGAAGAAAGGGTTTGGGCTCCTATCAGAGAGAATGTGAGGAACGAAATGTTGTTAATTCGATGCTCTTGCACTTTTGATGAATCCTGCTGCTTCACGGCAATCGTCCAAGTAGTCGCATGCTCTGACACACCGACCCACTTTTCACAGCGCCCCCGTTAGTCGCGCGGACGTGTCTGCTCATGTACCGCCCAGCTGCTCATTTCACTCATCTGGCCATTCAATCATTTGCACTTCTACTAGTTCACCCAAACTGTGTTGGCCGACGACTTCGTTTGCCATGCATGACTTTGAATACACAAAACAACAAGCACAACTAGGTTGAAACATCCTATAAATGGTCTTCTTCGTAGTCTTCCTTGGTGTCAGTGAAGAGTAATTGGGCTAATACAAGGCGGCGACCCCACTGTAATACGAGACCACATGCCTAGGCCTTCAACACACTTCGCACTAGCTACTCTAGCCTTTGGATGTCAAAAATGCACAAAGTATTGACGCGATGTAAGGGAAATTCAGTCGACATCAACCAAAAAGTAGGTAAGTGAGTTTGCGCAACGTGTTCACGAATAATAACTAATAGAATTCCAAGAAATCTCTTGGAGAACGATTATGCGAATAGGCTATTGCGAACTAATTTCTATATTCTGTTGAATCACTTAGGTGGCTATCGGTATTCCCATCTTAAGTGAATTAAGTGCCCTTTGTATTTGGTGGATCGTATTACCGCTGAGATATAAACAGTTGAGTTTGCTTATACGGGGTTTCGAACTAATGCCTGCTATTGCCTCTAAAAAAGGATGCCTTCGAGACCCTGTCTTCAAACTCAATTGCATTCGCCTCCAGAAAAGGTGAACTCTACTAAATGAGCCTGGCAAATTTGACCATCGACCGTATGACTCGGCGCATACTTTCATCCCGACCGGTCATAACCATACGGCTGCAAACGCAGCGTTCTGATTGGTCGTGCGTTCCAAAGGGCATGCCGATTAACGTGTGGGTGGCGTGCATTCCACGTGGGCTAACTGACGCCATCGTTTGGCATGGGGCGGTGCCTGGTTTGCTTGTTGGCGCCAACGGGGAAGTCGGAGGCAGTCTTGCTTGTTGGCTGAACAATTCGACGTTGGAGTACCAGGATACTCTGACTGCGTGGACGCCCAGAGTTGTGGTTCGGTAAAGTAACTCCGCCTTCTTAAAATCGAATTCGTTGAGGGACGTTCCTACAATCGTTAGTACTAGTTCTTGGAATTCCTTTCGAGGTAGCCCACGTCCCAGCCCTCTCACGCGGTCTAGTATGCGCCAGAGAGCATTTGTAGGAATATGTTCTCATACAAGAGTAGTGCTGCGTCATCTACGCAAGTTCATTACAAACTATTTCGAGGCAATACAAAATGCCCCAAAGCAGCATCTAGAAGTGGCTCAATCCCAAGACGAATTCAAAGTCGCCGTTCAAAGCAATAGCCCTCAATTACGACACGGTAGCTTTTGATAAAACAAAGCCTTAACAATTTCTCGCTTGTTTCTACCCTTCGGCGTCTGCCGATACTCATCTCTAAAAATGTGCGCATTCTGCGTCAGTTAAGCAACACTCATGACGACTTCAACACCAACCATTAGCACACGGCACTTCTGGCTGACAAATTTCCCAAGGCACCCGTCACTTTGGCATGCGCATTTAAGCATTCCGTGTCTTAAATGCTTCGGATGGTCACTAAGCATGGAGAATCAGGCGCACTTGGGCTCCACAATACTGTCTTCGGTGGTCACGTGTGTGTGAATGCTACCTCGTCGTCGACACAACCGATGACTAAAAATGCCATGCGCGCACCCTTGCCCCCCGGCATAGCGCTTCTGTTCGCTGATCCGAACGCGCCAATGGTAGTTCAAGGAGCATACTTCTCCAGATTGCATCGCGGAAAGCCAAAACACGGTTTTTTTCTGAGTCTCTGTCAAAGTAGACCTACTTTCTTGGTACTCATCCCAGGCTTCAATTTACGACAGCCTCGATTACCAATCTTGAAACTAAATTTGCTAATTTTTTGTTATGTACTAAAAAGGGATGACCACTCACCCTGCGTCTTGCGCTTCATGAGCCCGGATAATTGAAAGAAGGTTGTTTGTCTGAAGGAAATCACAGCACGCAGAGTAACTAAAAGAGGTAAAACGGTTCGAAGAGTTGATAAGAAGCAACGGTTTCGCAAACCACCATCAGCCAATCGTGCTTCATAATGACCAAATATCCAGTTAGGCTACGCGGACAACTGCCAAACCACGACGCCGCAATTTGGTAGCCTGAAAATCTTTATTCAGAGCAGCGAGATAGTCATTTTATCTTATAACCTGTACACTTAAAACACATAAAAGGCGGGATGTGACAGCGGGATTTGCGAAGCCTGCGCACAAAAAACGCGGCTGTGTGCCTACGAAGTTTAAGCGACAACTGCTGAAGGTGAGATTTGACCGTTGTGTGCAGCGCAAAGGGTGACATGCCCAAAGGCCATTGACGGCATAAGGTCCGACCTTGCCCTCTTGCATTTCGATAAAAGGAAAAACCAACTCCGCCTTAAGCAATGCGTGCGACAAAAAATGTTTACCCAGTGCAAGAACAAAAATAGGGATTCTAAGGACATCGAGAATGGCTCATCGGGGTGCGAACACACACACACACGCAGGATAAAGAATGAGAAATCTACATTCAATAGGCTGTAAGTTGTGCGAAATGATGAACCAAAGTATAATGACCACTGAGAGTGACATACGACTCAGGGTTTAGTGAGGCATGCTGCAAGAATTTAATAACGATTTTAATGTATAACAGAATACTTAGGGCAAGTTTTTCAAACAACGCCAAATAGCTATACGTTGAACTTGCGTGAGCTAATGCAAAGTGGTCTGAGTACGGTGAGACTGGAATATCAGGAGAGGAAAATAGAAATGGGAACAGTGGTAAAAAGGCTAGGCTTGACGAATCCAACAGTCCATAACCACCTCCAGTTTTACAAAAGTTTAACCAGCAGGATGAGGAAGCATGTGGAAGTCATGATTAAAACTGGGCACGCGGCACGCTCCTGTTTTTGACGGATAAGGGTCTTTTGAGAGCACCTTTTAGAACTAGATAACTGGCCAGGTTTGGAGGCTGCGTCTCCGTAGTGCACCATTCTGACCTAGTCTACGGTCTAACGACCAGCTGTAACAAATTAATTAGACTTTTTTTGGTAGATTTAAGGAACACAAAGAGCATGGTACCGACAGCAAAGGGGAATTCACAATACCAGTTGAAGGAAAACAGCTAAAAATTATGGTGCATTGCCTGGCTTTGCGATGGGAATGATGAACAAACTGCGCAAATACTGCATGAAGTGGGGCCTCGAACACGGAACGTAGACGTGACAAATTTGAGTTTGAATGCCGTGCCTTCTTGTTTTGACAGAATGTTAGGCGGCGTTGGTACCTGAAGCGAGGTCAATTGTGAGGTGCAAAGATAAGACTCAAGGTTCGCAGTCAAGTCATCTCAAAACCATTCACATCAGTGGCCCAATTGAGTGGCTTTATGCAAATTTTGGACTGAGAAATGATTTGATAATTATCAAGTGAGGTCACGCGGTCCTGCTTTTGGTGATTGCGAAAATTGACAACTATTACCAACAAGGGGCATCAACACAACCAGGCACCACCCACTTCATAAAATCGAGGGTGGACATTTGGTAGGACCTTTATCTCGTTGTACAGATAGCGACAAAACGCATATTTGCCCAAGTTTGAATCTGAAATGGAGTGGATTCTCTGCAAGGTTATCAAAAACTTAACGACTCGGCTACACAGGGTGAAGCAAATGTTAAAGTTCGGACCCGGGTTGTGGTGAGATCGAGGATGAGAAGCACTGACGACTATTGAAGCAACCGGCGACTGTGACATACAACCAGCTGTCTGTGATGCTACCTTCTCCTTCAAAACCCTTATTTGAGGCACAAGGCCATTGTTAGGCAAGGTGAATTGAAGGGAGCTGCAATCAGAATAGCGTGAAACATCTGAATAGCATTGTTCCACAATTTAAAGAATTCACATTTACGCAGAAGGTCTATTGATCTTATGATTTGCACTAAAAAACATAACGCTAATGAGTAAACTTTCAATGAAATCTGAAACTACAGGAATTGTAGATTCTTACAGTGTTTATGGCAAGTTAACTTCTAAATGTGTCAGCAATGCATCATTAGCTAGGCTGGATGAAAAATGCGTAACGCGCAATCGGACAAAAAATGGCCCGAACTCCGTTCCCTTGTGAAGGATGGTGACGCGGTCGAGATAAAATCAGCTCAATTATTCAGAGTAGCAGTATTAGGGCAGTAGCAACGGCATTGGGAGGTAGACACGCACCCTCACCGAAACACCGGAGCGGAACGGGTAAGTACGCGCACGCGTGTATGTGGTGCCCACCCACCCCACCTCCTCCCCCATCGTCCAGCTTCCCCTGCTCTGCTCATTCAGCGACATTTGGCGCTCGCATTAATACGATCCTCCGCCATCTGTTCCGCTTGCTGCTAGCTCTGCCTCTTGCACCTCCCCTCCCCTTCCCTCCATTACTAGCTTGGATGATTATCGAAATTCGCATACGTGTCCTCGTTGCTACAACTATTCTCCTCCAACCACCTTCAGCACAGAACAGGGAGCAAATAGGGCACGGGTGTAAAAAGGTGTTGTAGCTGAAAGTTCTACACCAAAATGCACACGGACATAACCTTAGATTTTGAGCTTTGAACGTGGCTTCCATCTACACAAAAGCTCGGTTACCAAAAAATGCTGACGAAGATTTGCTCTTCAACGTCATGCAAATGTAACGTTTATTGGAGATGATGCGCACAGATATGGACGACCAAGAGGTACTTTGACTGGGAAATGAGGATGTGCGGTTCCGGTGGAAGTACGGAGTCGGGGCTGCAAATCGCGTCAAAACTGGTCTGCCACCAGCCTGATACCGAGTGTTGCTTAAAGGGTCACGCTGCAGTCTCTACCTTGCGTAACATTACTGTAGGAGTGAACGACACAAAATTGGTCCTTTCTAAAGTCTGGAGGTAAGAGTGGAATCCAATATGCTGTGGGTGTAGGAAATAACCATATTCGGAGAGGTTTAGCATAATATTTTACTCGCGAGTCCGACAGCAAGGACAGAAAATCCTGTGCTAACTATTTCTTATAAACAAAATAGTTTTGTGATTGCTTGATCAAGTAATGTGCTTTTGCACCTAAATTTTGACCTTGAAAACACAACTGTCCTTGGATTGTAAAGCCCCTTCACGAGTAGTTTACCGTTCTTGTTTAATTGTGATTAATAGGCTTGAAAGGATTACATGGCCGTGTGATGGCGAGCTGCGCTCTACACAGCTATTTGTTCTCTTTTATTGGTCAAATTCAATTAAATTACCACAAATCACAAGTAAACAAGCAACACATCCTGACGGGTCTTGCATTATGCCAATTAACACCAACCGACAGAGGTGATCACGAAGAGTGAAGAACTCCACCAAGAAAATAACCGTTTGTCAAGCAAGTAACTTGAACCGAAACAGGTTTTACTAGAGACGAAGTTGCCCAAGTTGTGACAAAATGAATCGAACATAAAACCGAAACCAAAATATAGGTATTTTAAAACATTTAGCAACAAAGTTAGGGGGCTGTTAATAATCACCTAGCATTAAAAATTACGGCACTTGCTACGGCTAGTAAAAGGACTGCCAGGGGCTAATTAAGGCGCCAAAATTATCTAACCACAAACGTTTTGTTTATGATTTACATCAAGGCTTTCATCTGTGTGAATTTAAAAGAGACTTTTGTGCTGACAACTCATAGTCTACTTATCACAGACAAGCCCACGCACACAAAGGCCTCGGTTGATGGTTGTCATGATTTCTGCACCCCTGTAAAAGTATACTAGTGAACTCACACGAATAACGCTGGATGAACAATGAAACGAGGTGTATAAAAGCGCAAACTAGACCAGAAATATAAAGTGGTTGGGGGGGGGGAAGACCCTGTGTTCAAAAAGTCAGTGTAGACAGAGTTGTTGGCTAAATCGGCTGCATATTCCATAAAGCAATGAAGCGCATAGTTTGGTTATTTCCACAATCCATTTAAGGCAAAGAGCTCCATTAGTGGGCACAACTCTACCGTGGGTTTACAGTGGACTAAAAATGCACTTCAGTGAATTAGGCAGACAGGCTTAATCAGTCTTAGCCCATGATAAAAGCGAGCAAACTCTGGCGGTGTGCGCGAGCGCGTCTCGTCGCGAGTGCAAGCGTTCGCGTCATTGTCAAGCGCCTCAGGCAAGAGCAATGCTATGGGTAAACTCGCAAGAGCCTTAAAAAAGACCGACTGAATAATTGGGGACATTCATGGCAATTAGTCACAGTAATCGTGAATAAGCCAGTAGTTTTGGGATGATGGTTAATAGTGTGCCTGATTTCGGAGACATTCTTAAAACTTAACCTTGAAGTGTAGGAAGATGTTTGCGATCTGGAAGAAAGTGCCTAATTCCCATGAGCGACACTAGCATACTACCAGATTAAGCATACCTGTTAGTGAAATAGTGCAAATTATTGGGGGTGCTCCATGGGCCCAGGGTACAAAGTGTGACGTGACGCCATAGCGGCTCCAAGCATCAATACGATTTACCACGAGGAACCCACCTGAAAAAGTATGAACACCCGCGGACGGAGTTGTGAGAGAAGTTCTCAGAATTCTGCTCATTGCCGAAGTCTTCCAGAGGATCGGACCAGAGGAGGTCGCACATGGAACCGTAGGCCGGAGGCTCCTTGAAACGGTCAATCTGGGAAAATTAAAAATCGAACACTAAGGGTAATTTTAGATGCTGATGGGCGCTGCGACACGTGCCAGTTTTTTTTTCCTAATTCAACACGTAAACAGCACTTAGGGCGTGGGGGAATAAAAGTGAACATGTTGCGCTCGTTTTGCATCGCATTTGCACAGTCACAGCTGCCATCAGTAAGGTTTTTCCCTGCCCTCGCCTCCCCAGGGCTCCTGCCGGAATTTCACGCAACACTAAAAACCAAAGTCCCAAGCAAGGAAATTTCAATTACACCATAAGAATTCTCAAGCGTGTTGCTTAAAACAAGCGTAGTTGAGATTAAGCTTGGTCAAATTACTCAAAAGCGAGTAGACATATGGCCTCTTTGGGGCTGTTGACATTACCACATCCTTTTGGTCTCGACATGTTGCATCTCTCTATTTTATTAACAAAATAAATACTTGAAACAATCGGAAGAGATAAAGGAAGTGAGGGTATAGGTAGTCTGACAGAGCCCAATATGTGCTGATGGAACAATAAATACTCACAAAACCCAGCGAATTCCTTCATTTTTAACTACAATTTTTCCACGTTTGGTTGAGTCGGACACTCTCGGAAAACAGAAGTGTAGAATATGGTGAAACGATGGTAAAGGACCAAGACACCCGATGGCGCAGACAAGGAGAAGATGCAGAAGACTTGAATCAAAGAAAATAAGGGCAAACTAAGACTGCTACCATCAAGCTAACTTGTGGAGGACATGTTCACGCAGACGGGAGGTGACTCGGTGTGGAGGCGCGACGCGTCGAAAAGGCCTCAAGAAGGCCCAAGCAACTCACCGCATCTGCTGGGGGATTCTCACGGTAAGCACATAAAGCTTAATTGGCATACCTTACAGGCACAGACCAATCATTTGGCGGGCAAGAGTGCGTCAGGTTAATGGGCTGTGCCATTTGGAGACAAAACGGAACGCTTTGTGCTATAAAACCGAGGCCATGCCACCTGGACTCCATGTGTTCGCGTGAATCTCCCCTTATCATAAATATACGATCCCACCGAAATGAAAAACAGCAATTTACATTTCTTTGCGTAAATGATCAACACTCTATCGGAAAGTGGTAATTGTATAGATTTTAAGGGCAAAACAGCTGTTTTGCTTGTCTGCATAGAAAACAGGGCTAAATGGGCTGTGCCGTGAGGCATGTCAAAGCCTCAAAAAAACAAAAGCATTTCGAAGCCTAGCTGTTTTGTCTACTTTAACACCTCGAATCCGCCGGAAGTTGTTTGTCAAGGAAAAGGCTCAGTGAAAATTTGACAGCATTGCAGGAAAGGTTTAGGTGGCAGCGAACTAACACAGGCACAAATGCATTTAAAAAAAAGAATGTGGTCAGTATTTTAAACCCAAAAGGAAAGCCCACAATGCAGACCACATGAGCTATAGACACACGACACGTAAAATGTTAGTTTAAGTACACTGACCCGTCGAATGTCATCTAAGGTCTGGATTTCGGGAGAGAGTCCACCGTGGACGCAGAGGAATTGCTGGTTCATGAGGGCCGCCAGGGGAAGACAGTCAAACGCATCCATGCAAGCGTTGTAGACATCATTGTTGTACTTTATTCGACCTGTTGAAACATGTATGGACTTTCACTTATGAATTTACAATTTGTACAAAAGAAACATTTTCAAGATCGATACTTACTTAACTATTTAGGTAAACAGAAACAGATTTCCAAATTTTTTACCATTCACGAGTTATAATTTTTTAAGGTTTTACGAGATGACGTGAGATTAATGAGACAAATCAAGTATCTGGAAGCCATTATAAATTTAAAGTAAGATAAAATAGAAATAAGAATTATTGAACGTAGTATTTTCTAGCGCATTAAGTGACTGAGTCCACACAGAAATTTTTGACTCAAAAGGCATTTAAGCCACCATCACTGAGACATGACATTTAACATTCAACTGGAAAATTTACAGATAAAAATGGCGAAAAAATCTCAACGGCCTTGCATAAAAGTACAGTAAAACAGGGATTAAATCAATTATTTTCCCTGGTTAAGGATCAATACAAAGAGGTATTGGTCCCATTCTTGAAGCATCAAACAGAGAGTTGTCTGTTTCATTAAAATCTAGGCAATAGGTTCTAAGAAAATGTCGCCAGATGCAAATACTCGCAGCCAGTTGACAAGTAATAACATTTCGGAACTAGTTCAGCCGTGTTTAGCAACACACCAATGACAAGAAGCAGACATGTAAGAGGCAACCTGCGCTGACCAAACCGGCGTTGACGCCCCCGGGGTCGGAGCGCTCTTTTTATCGCCCCAAAAAGTGACATCCTTCCAGCGGAAATCGGTGCAGAAAATAGGGTAGGCAAAACAACTATCAGAAAACAAGCATAACTCTCCAACGTAGCATAGAGTTGAAGGCATTAACCCTTTCAAGCTATGGAAGCTAAAAACATATGACTCACATCTAGGGCCTTCATCGATTTCTGAAGGCGCAGAAAATAACCGTGTGACATAATTTATATTATTTTGCAACTGCAGCAGAATGATGGCAGAGTTTGCGATGACAAAAGCAGTAGTCATGGGTGTATTTTAAAACCAAAACAGCCTAAATAGCCTGATACTTTCATTCTAGGTACAGTTTGTAGATCTAACTTGATCTGCCTATTGTGAGAAACGAGTGATCAAGCCATAAACACCAACTAAGTAGACAGACGTTGTTTCGTAGAGGCTCGGAGACTCCATCATTACGTCGGCTGCTTTAAACCCCATAAATGGAGCCACGAGAGCAGTGCTTCCTTTCTGGAGAGCCTTGCCATTGGCCGCTAGACCTCATGGTGACGGAACAGCGCAAGTCGACGAGGCCCACTGACCACCGCTTAATACTAGGGGCTTATCAGACACAAACAGCCACGTGGATACATTCCGACGTACCTTTGCCATGACAGCAACAACTAAAAGACAGCACCACCCTGGAGATGATTCGTGAATGCGAAGTTCCATGAATGTTAACGCCTAAATTTGGCTTTTTGACCGCGGCTATGATACTTGACGCTATCTAAGGATCGATGGCAAACGCAGTGGCATCGAAATGCAATGCTGGCGACTCCATCGACCCAATCCTAAGACATCCAGCCCTGCGTGCAGTGGCACTGGATAAACACAAGTAGACACGACAACTGCCAGTGACGTCGACACGAGACCACACTTGCCAAACCGACCCAAGAGTTCCCATGGCAAACAGGGTGTCTTTAGATAATGGAGTGGATTTGTATAAGGCTAGTCCCCAAGCATATTCAAAAGACGTGCTCCAAAATACAGCAATTGATTATAAAACCTCCCAGAAATAAATCAAAGGCCTACCTGAGGTGTCTCAAATTGGTTCAATCGACAATCACACGAGTGTTGTTAATTAGTGTGATTTATTTAACTGGTTATTACACCTTACAATTTTAACCGTAAAAGATGCACCGAAATAACATGTGATTGATGGAGTGGAAAAAGCGAGATGCAGAAATGCAACTGCAAACTGCTACAGGAAACACACACACTTTACTCCGATAAATGAAATCAATTAATTCAAAGGCAGGTGCATAAGACATCAACTGTTGCTTGGGCAAAGAACCGGATAGAATGTAAAGTAGAAGCTAACAGGAGCTTACATTCCTGCTTGAAGGTGAAGTACTCAGTAAGGTGTCGACACTCATGATTACCACGCAGGAGGAAGAAGTTAGCTGGGTGCAGAATTTTCAGTGCCCACAGGTATAACACGCACTGAAATGGAACAGGCAGTTAGAAATGGGAAATGCATACACGACAAAAAAGGTTTCCGTACTAAGGGTCACTAACTCTAGAGCCTTGACAGCGTTTCTTTTATCCATTCGCGTTTTTTTGGACGCTACATTTATATTTCAAGACATGGGACCGGGTTCACCGCAATGGTGTTTAAACATTTTTAAATGTGGGACACAAAAATAGATATGCACGCACTCTGGCAATACAGGGTTCCGATCGTGGCCAAGTGACGCTTGAGAAATTCACGCTTACTGTATTGTTTAGAAATTGACCACGACTCAAAAAAATTATAAAAGGTGACATGTAACCACAAAAGCATACTCTGTGCTACTGTTAGCAGCCACCACATTTTTTATGCCAAGGAGAACTATTTAAAGCCATAACATTCCATAACTGACACAGAAGAGTAAACTCAGCAACTACATTTTCTGTGTTTTGAAATTTCACCTTCAACACAAATGCCGAAATCCGAACCTCAAGCTCATACAGACTAATGTCTCCTGCTGCACTCCTGACTGGCCAGGCGTGTTCGAATTTAACACTTAAACTACTACACCTCCGCATCTTAGGACATTCTTTTACAAACGACGATTTGATTTGATAAATCAGAATTTCATCATCACTTCCAAAAATATCCTCGACCTTTCCCAATGAGAGTAACACCAAACTGGAATGGTGCATGAAAGGATGCCCGAAATACTTTTGCACTAAAATTTTACAGACCTTTTTTTACGTTTCATCAACTAATTGCAATTTTCTGTCGAAGGCACGCTTGCATTGTCTGCATCGTTTATTAAGCAACCAGAATAGGTTAATGGAGACGATTACCTCTAATCTTCTGGTCGCCTAAGTAAAAGGTGGTATGAGTTGGCGTGTGTTTAAGGCCATGTAAACATGTCTGTGAACAAAACAGGGGTCGCTTTTAAATTGAATTTGGTAGTCTAAAGATATAAGTCCTAATTGTTGATTTCAACACGTGTCTAATTCCAAGTGAAAGACATTTTAAGCATCAGGCTTACAGAAGTTGCATTAACATGTCAAATATCAAAACGGTTTCCAAATAAAATGTCAGCAAAAATTGGAAGGAAGAGGGAGCTTTAGTTATTGTGGCGTGTGACGGCTCTTGCCAAACGAGTTAACAGAGGTGTTTAACCGCTTCGTGCTCATTGATTCTAACGCGAATGACAGTGCGCCTGTACTAGCGACATCGCGAAATACACATCCACAGGGAATCGCAGGTGCCAGTCATGAGATGTGACATGGTGCTACACTTGCGGGGATAACAGACATACCTGAACCTAAGATACACCAACCATCATAATTTGTACACACTCTGGGGTTGTTTATATAATATTTGGTAATTGACAGTTGGTTATAAACTAAGGAAACGAGATCAGCTAACATAACGGGTCCTAAATTAATTTTTTTTTAAATATTGCTTTCACAGGAGAGACCTTATGTAAGGAAAACCCCCAAATTCAGTAGGATTTGTATAATGGATTTATGAGAATTGTGGGCTGAACCCATGCCGAAGAACAAAATCGTGAGTGTGGTTACACAATGCTTATGCAATGGCGCCTAAAGGCAGAATACTGAATTCTAAGGCACAAACAGGGTTTCGACATTTGCTCGCAGTAGACACACATTTGAAAGATGCTGGAAGCAGTATCAGCACAAAAAATGACGACCAAAAAGACCGAAGGCTTAAATTAGAATCACAGAGTTTGGTGGGAGCGGACAAAGCTTATTATGGAACAAGTTAGCACTTAGCTGTTTCATAATCACGAAGTAATGCAAGGGGAAATAGCGAAATGGCATTGCAGAACAAGGTACGAAAGCAAACGAGGCAATCGAAATCGGAATATCTTTTTGCTGAAATCTCCCCCCTTGTGTGAGGGATTAACAAGGGGGTGGGGAAGGTTTCAGTCCGAGTTCAACAAGTAGTCCCTCACAAAACTTTCATTTAATTAAATATCCTACAGCTAGGCTATGAGTCTCAAATCTTCCGGCAACAGAAATGAATCAACCTAAGAGTAAACTCCTTGAGTGGTCATGAATATGAAGTTAGCCATTTAAGTAATTGATTTTTTCATACTTATGGATGGAGTTCTAAAGCGTTCACCTAAGACCTCCTGAACACCCAGAAACCCACGCATTGTTGGCTGCTCTCACCCACCGGGTTAAACTAAACTTTCCCAATTATATTGCACGCATAACACCCCTAGGCCTGTATCTAGTTCACTAGACGTCCATTATCGGTTGGTCGCCTGCGTCACTTATACTACATTAATCAGACTCACATACGTCAGCTCTAACAAAACAGCACAAAACTATCTGTTGGGTTTTGTGCTGTCTGTCCCATAGCCCGACGGCAAATGAGGAAAATATTTCAACTACATGATTTTTGGGGGTGTAGGCAGAAGGTAGTATTTAAGTGTCCATCCACTCAAGGTCATTACGAAACAAGATAAAATGAGGTTAACCGAGTTTAAAACCATTATCTGTTGTGTACTGAGTTTGTTTATAACTTTAAATGAGATTGAAAACTAATAGAAATTAAGACTAGGACACTTCATAGCAGGTAATTGGGAAGCAAACAAAGCGGCCGATTACAAACGTGGAACTTTATTATTGCAAAACCATTCAACGTTTATACAAAAACGAGTTTCGCGCGACTGACTCGATAACAGCCATCTTTTACACAAAATACAAAGTAGATTAACATGATTAACAAGACCTCCCATAATTGAAGGGGCGCAGGTTACAGGTGACGTTTATGACTGTGCGCAGGTTGTGCGCAAGAAGTATTCATGGTGGAAATAGAAGAACAGCGTAATCATCAGGCACGTGTGTGCGTGCACAACGTGGCCACATATTTCCGCAAACGCAAAGCCATAATGGGAGGCGAAATAGCAATACATTACGTGGCACAGGTAAACTTCAAGCAAACTGTCACTAATATAAATAAAACATTGAAATCAAGTGAAACTTGAAAAATTGATCACAAACACTGAGAATTAGTTCCAGCCTTAACACTTAGAAATAATGGTGTTGTTACAGTGATTTAGGCATAAACAGCTTTAACCATTGGAAAATTGTCTGCACAAAAAAATATAAGGAATATGAAAATCAATTAGAGATCGCTAAATATAGCCCATTAATTTTTGTACTGCGCCAATGAACCGCAAAATGAAAAGGGAAAGAGTAGCCACACTGGAATACTCAAAGCATTATAGTGTCTGTAATTTAATATTAACCCCTTGTGACGTTAGCCAATAAGGGGACTTTCCTAATTATGATAGTCGAGATGTCAATAGAAAATACGGAGTAGTACAACTATTTACGAGAAAAAAGCGCATGGGTAACAAAATTCGTTTAGAGATACAAATACGTCATTTAGGTGCTTCTGACAGAAACAGATGCATTTGAAAAGATCTAATTGTACTGTTTTACTATACTTTATATTGTGAAAACATTAAAAACCTAAGTAATTCGCCAATCTAACCGAACGATTTGATAGCATCTAAATGAAGAAAAAATACATGAGACGGAGAGGATTTTCACTAGAAGACTACCATTTAGACCTATTAAGTGCATCCAGAATAAAATGAACCTAGAACAAAATTAATACCTCAGTCGTAGTCAAACGCCCGAATAACTAGTGCCAGAATAAACTCACTTCAATGCTGAAATACCCGCGATCCACATAATCCCCGAGGAACAGGTATCTTGTAGTGGCTGGATGTCCGCCAACTTCAAACAGCTTCATTAAGTCAAAAAACTGTCCGTGGATATCACCGCACACTAAAATGGACAGAGGAGCATGCAGTACAGTTACAACCATCTTAATTTGATCCATGAAGCAAGAAAAAGTGTATTAGAATAAATCAATAACCTTGTGTAAGATAAATGTACCAGAGTTTGAATACTTTACCATACGTCAAAATTTTCAAAAATATTACATTCGCCGACAAGTTAATAACTAAGAAGTAATTGTAATTAACCACGACAAACAAATTTTTCCAGTAAACAATAATAGGTGATTAACTAGAAGATGCCAGTTAAATGAATTGAGGCAGGAACATACGGGGATGCATATACAAGAAACGCAGCTTTGTGCTAAACATTGAAATCAACGCATATTTTGGCCAACTGCAGTCATTAAAAACTCACCAGTAACAGGAGCATCGATTTCCAAAACATTAGCTTCCTCTCGAAGTAAAGCAGCACCGTCGTTGATAATTTTAAGTGCAGCTTCATCGGTAACTCGACCCTCAAGGAGAAAATGCTGCTTAAGTTTTTCAATATTCGGTTTTCCTCTGGACTCAAATATGTCATTGATAGTAAGTCTGCGACTAGGCGGAT